ATTACAAATCATTTAAATTAGATTCTTGGGGAAGGCATTCAAGCTAAGAGTGGTGTTGCAAAACAGCATGATTTTCACAGACAGCCTCGGAGACAGCATATGCTGGCGGTGCATATTTGGCTGTAAATATTTTTTTTATTTCTTTTGAACGATGGTTTGCTTACATACAGCAGTAGTTCACCATTCGGATTAATTTCTGTTAAAAACGAGGCCTTTTTCAGGTAGTTTAACCGTCTATCTACTGCCACTCATTAATAAACAGTGAAGTGGTGGAGGCTTATGTTTGCAACAACATAAACAGCACTCCAGGAATCACCCTGGGGAAGCCAGTGTGCCTGTTAATGGCTGAGACAGCTTGGCTAACGGACACAAATGTTTATTTATCAAGGGTAGCCATACATTATACAATTTTCTTGAGAATTTCGCTTTAGATTGGTCCATAACCGTAAAATATGAGGTCAAACCTAAACAACACTTTCAATTGTATCCAGTTAGGCAGGCCCTTGCACTACATAGTTGAAGGTAAATCTAAAGGAAATTGAGCAGAAATTGGACAGAAAATTGTATAGTGTATGGCCAGCCTTAAGCTGGATCACTCAGAATCTTGTGTACCTGTGCATGGTAGCCAATCAGCTTCTAACCTCAGCTTGTTCAATGAAGCTTTAGCAATAATACTGGGAAGCTGATTGGTTTTGATGCAGAAGTGCACAACATTCTGAGTGAACCATGTTTAGTAAATAAACCCCACAGTGTACAGCATCCAAACGGCTCTGTATCATGTGATTGCTGTGATGGCTAGTCACAGGGATCCCAAATGTAAACAGTGCAGTGTTTACATTGCAGAACCTGCCCTTCCTCTTATGTCAGAATAGGAGGAAGAAGGAACTATTGATTGAATGAATAAATTAATCAATTGTTCATTACTTCCAGGTCAGAGCATAGGTGGATCCCAAGATTATGCAATCATTTTTAACCCTTTTAACCCTCTTCCTCCCCAGTATATCTCAGCCCCCTCTTGCCTCTGTAGTGACCAATATATTAACCAATTCACCTCCCTTGCACCTCTGTATATTAACCACTTCATCTTTATCCTCCCATTGCATGTGACCCATAAATAAACCTCTCCACCTCCTCCTTGTATCTTTAATCTATCTAGTGCACTATTACCAAGATCTATATTTTAACACCCTCAATACTAGTATGTGTTTTCATTTTATAAGAAAATTGTGGACAAAAATTGCATGACCTTGAAAGGTTTACCAAAGTGATAGCATCCCTCAAATCACTGTATATGACCTGTACATTTAGTGTACCTGGAGCTCTATTACCAGGCTCTATGTTTTACCTCCTGAACACCAACATGTTTCTTCATTTCCCAAAAAAATCAGAATCAGAAGGAAAGCACAGTGACTGATCCTAATATCTCCCTATCCTCTCCCTACAGCAGTTTTCAGTAAAATTACATTATGGCTTCTCTGAGCCCTGATCTCATAGTGAGGGGTCTAGCTTATTCAATAACACCCTTGTTAGCCCTACTGGCAAAAGATCAAAGACCATGCAGTCCATTATGGTTTACAAATATGCCTGGGGTTGTATCCCATTTACCTTTCTAAATCTTTCTGTTCCTTTACTTATTTCAACACCTCATTTCTTTCCTACTGCTTTTCCTAGCTCTTATTGCTGACAACTAGAGATGAGCGAATCGAACCAGGCGAACCGGAATTCGATACGAATTTCAGGAAATATTCGATTCGCGTCGAATCCGAAATTTTGCCTACTTCGGGTGCGCGAATCGAATATTTCCCGATCAGCCGGCAAAAGTGTCCCTGCAGTGAGCTCCGCTATTTCTGACAGTTCTCTGACAGAAGGAACACATGTAAAGCGGTTGAAACATTGTATCTATTAGTTTCCATTTAGGATACAGATGTTTCAACCGCTGTACATGTGAAGAAGCTGTCAGAGAACTGTCAGAAATAGAGGAACTCTGCACATACACTTTTTGCCGGTTTGGAATTCTTATTTTCATCCTTCTTTCTTCTACTTCTTCATCCTCATCCTCATCCTCAGAAGAAGAAGAAAGAGGATGAGGATGAAGAAGAAGAAGAAGTAGGATGAAAATAAGAATAATTCCAAGCCGGCAAAAAGTGTATGTGTAGAGTTCCTCTATTCTGCAGATACACTTAGAGGAGCTCTGCAGATACACTTAGAGGAGCTCTGCACATACACGTTTTGCCGGCTTGGAATTAATCTTATTTTCATCCTACTTCTTCTTCTTCTTCTTCATCCTCATCCTCAGAAGAAGAAGAGGACGAGGATGAGGATGAAGAAGTAGGATGAAAATAAGAATAATTCCAAACAGGCAAAAAGTGTATGTGCAGAGTTCCTCTATTCTGCAGATACACTTAGAGGAGCTCTGCAGATACACTTAGAGGAGCTCTGCACATACACTTTTTGCCGGCTTGGAATTAATCTTATTTTCATCCTACTTCTTCTTCTTCTTCTTCTTCATCCTCATCCTCATCCTCAAGAGGACGAGGATGAGGAGAAGAAGAAGAAGTAGGATGAAAATAAGAATAATTCCAAGCCGGCAAAAAGTGTATGTGCAGAGTTCCTCTATTCTGCAGATACACTTAGAGGAGCTCTGCAGATACACTTAGAGGAGCTCTGCACATACACTTTTTGCCGGCTTGGAATTATTCTTATTTTTTCATTCTTCTTCTTGCAGAGCTCCTCTAAAGTGTATCTGCAGAATAGAGGAACTCTGCACATACATTGTTTTTTTGCCGGAAAACCGCAATGTATGGAGGGAATGTCCCAGAACTGTCAGAAATAGTCTATTTCTGACAGTTCTGGGACATTCCCTCCATACAGCGGTTGAAACATTGTATCTATTTGTTTCCATAAATGGATCCATTTATGGAAACAAATAGATACAATGTTTCAACCGCTGTATGGAGTGAATGTCCCAGAACTGTCAGAAATCGTCTATTTCTGACAGTTCTATGACATTCCCTCCATACAGCGGTTGAAACCGCTGTATGGAGTGAATGTCCCAGAACTGTCAGAAATAATCTATTTCTGACAGTTCTGGGACACTCACTCCATACAGCGGTTGAAACATTGTATCTATTTGTTTCCATAAATGGATCCATTTATGGAAACTAATAGATACAATGTTTCAACCGCTGTATGGAGTGAATGTCCCAGAACTGTCAGAAATAGACAGAAACTGTCATACAGAACTGTCCTTGTCCCGGAACTTCTCATCCTTCTCCTTCTTCTCATCCTTCTTCTCTCATCCTTCTTCTCATCCTTCTCCTTCTTCTCATCCTTCTCCTTCTTCTCATCCTTCTCCTTCTTCTCATCCTTCTCCTTCTCCTTCTTCTCATCCTTCTCCTTCTCCTTCTTCTCATCCTTCTTCTCATCCTTCTCCTTCTCCATCTTCTCATCCTTCTCCTTCTCCTTCTCCTTCTTCTCATCCTTCTCCTTCTGCTTCTCCTTCTTCTCATCTTTCTCCTTCTTCTCATCCTTCTCCTTCTTCTCATCCTTCTCCTTCTCCTTCTCCTTCTCATCCTTCTCCTTCTTCTCATCATTCTCCTTCTCCTTCTCCTTCTCATCCTTCTCCTTCTCCATCTTCTCATCCTTCTCCTTCTCTCATCCTTCTTCTCTTCTCCTTTCTCCTTCTCCTTCTTCTCATCCTTCTCCTTCTCCTTCTCCTTCTTCTCATCCTTCTCCTTCTCCTTCTTCTTCATCCTTCTCCTTCTTCTCATCCTTCTCCTTCTTCTCACCTTCTCCTTCCTTCTTCTCATCCTTCTCCTTCTTCTCATCCTTCCCTTCTCCTTCTTCTCATCCTTCTCCTTCTTCTCATCCTTCTCCTTCTCTCCTTCTTCTCATCCTTCTTCTCCTTCTCAACCCTTCTTCTCATCCTTCTCCTTCTTCTCATCCTTCTCCTTCTTCTCATCCTTCTCCTTCTCCTTCTTCTCATCCTTCATTCTCCTTCTCCATCTTCTCATCCTTCTCCTTCTCCTTCTCCCTTCTTCTCATCCTTCTCCTTCTCCTTCTTCTCATCCTTCTCCTTCTCCTTCTTCTCATCCTTCTCCTTCTCCTTCTTCTCATCCTTCTCCTTCTCCTTTCTCATCCTTCTCCTTCTCCTTCTTCTCATCCTTCTCCTTCTCCTTCTTCTCATCCTTCTCCTTCTCCTTCCTCATCTCCAAGGGCATTTAAATTAAAGGTACAGTGTTCTGCACTAATTTAAAGGCTCTCTGAAGCCTAGAAACCCTTTTTATAAGTCATCTTCGTAGCGAATAAATTCGCATCGAATCGAATTTCTTCCTGAAATTCGCCGAATCAGCCGAATCGAATTTTTGAATACTTCGCTCATCTCTACTGACAACTTATTTTACAGCACAGATCCCTTATCAAGATAGAACTTTATTATGCTATAGTATTTTTGCAAGGGAAGTGAGTCTACTTTCCATACTGAATATTTCCTGAAGTCTCCTAAGTTCACCAAACACAGGAAGTGAGAACTGGCAGTTTCATTTATATATGCCTTAACCACTTGATCTCCAGAGGATTTACCCCCCTTCCTGACCAGGCCATTTTTTGGGATGCGGCACTGCGTTATTTTAACTGACAATTGCGCAGTAATGCATCGGTATACCCAAATGAAATACAGCCTATGTTCCCCACAAATAGAGCTTTCTTTCGGTGGTATTTGATTGCCTCTGCATTTTTTTTTTTTGCGCTATAAACAACAAAAACGACAATTTTGAAGAAAAAAAAAACTATATTTTTTACTTTTTGCTGTTAAGCATGTCCAGTAAAATAAATTACAAATTTAAATTTCATCATAAATTTAGGCCAAAATGTATTCTGCTATATGACTTTTCTAAAGAAAAATCCCAATACGTGTAAATTAATTGTGTGAGAAATAGCATTTATAAATGGCAGTGTATATACTGGAATTTTTATTTTTTTTTACTAGTAATGGTGGCAATTAGCGACTTATAGTGGGACTGCGGCGGGCATTCTGACACTGGGGGGAACTGACTTGGTGTCATTGACATCGCCAGTGACACCAATACAGTGATCAGTGCTAATAAAAAGCATGTACACTGTACTAATGGCACTGGGCAGGAAGGGGTTAACATCTGGGACGATCAAAGGGTTAACTGTGTGCTGTATTACTGTGTGCTGTGTATGTGCTTTACACTGTAAGCACACTGCTTTGTATGGCTCTGCTATGCAGAGCCATACAAAGCAGTGTGCGGGAGCTGACAGGGGAGAGATCTGTTTTGTTTATACACAGGTCTCTCCCCCGTTGTGATACACGGCAATCGCAGGGTTCCAGTGGGGAATCACCGGCCGGGACCCATAATTGACAGCCGAGGCCACGAATGGTGGAGCAGGTAGGGAGCACACACGCCCCCTACTCAGAACTGCAAAATCACATGTATATACTGTATATGTGATTTTGCACAGCTGTGCCTCCCTGTAGCAATATTTCTGCTATAGGGCAGCACGGAAGCGATATTTCATACCTTAAACCTGCCTTTCTCAAGCTTTTCAACACAGAGAAGCCCTTAAAATAACATTCCGAGAACCCCTGCAAAAATTACTAATCTACAAGTCATGATATATTCGTGGTATAGCCAGTGGGAAGAATGTTCTTTACAATTGTGGTCATTGGGAAGAATTAACCCTTTACAGATGGCTAAAAAGATCAGGGGTGGTAGTGGGAGCTTATCTGAAAATCAGAAACCCCTAGCCACCTCAGGAGGAACCCTGGCTGAGGAACCCTGACCTAGACTATGTACTTTTTGTGCTTAATGTTTCTTACTTTCAATTTGTCTGTATATTCCTTTTTGCAAAAAAATAAATGAAAAGGTAATTACAAATTCACCTAGGAAAACATGGACATAAATTCTCAAGGACAGGGAATGTCAAGCCCGCCAGATTTGCTGGAAACCTGTGGTAAATTCTTGATTTTATCATTTAAATTGGAAAGGTGTGGATTTAGCAATGCCACTTTTTTTACTTTAAGGCTACATTCACATGGTGAAATAATAATGAACAGTGGATTTCCTTGCCAAGAATTGACTGATCCCTGTGTCCGATATCACAGGTTTATATAGACAGCTGCAGCCAGGAAGCCTGTACAAATGAATGACAGCTAAGTGGCTGCCTGGTTGTCTATGTGTAATCACATATGAAGCTATTACAGCACTTAGGGACAAACAGTGCATCCAGGGCCAACCATCTACATGTGCCATTACATGTGGACAGCTGCCTGTCAGCCTGTCATTCATTTCCACAGGCTTCCCTGTATACTTTCTCAAGACTGAAGGTTGTCTTTCTATTAATATACCTATAATAAAATATACAGTATTCATTTATAACTATAATTTTTTTTGTGAATTTTTGGAGGCAGGAAACAAGAGATATTTTTGTTTTCAGGAAACAAGAGATATTTTCAGTATCAATCTATGTTACAGTTTTCATGCTGTCTTTTTCTGTCCTGCCTGATCAGAACCGACTTTGAGATATCCTAATAAAATTTCATCCAGATGCTATGTAATATGCATGGTTTCAGAAACATACAGTATTTTGAACATGAACATTAAAGCAATACTGTGAAATGTTAACAGTTATAAAGTACAGGCACCTCTCAATTACTCCCAATTGCTCTGACTCATCCATGTGGGATTGAAGCTTGTCAGCTCCATCCTGCTCCCCAGAAACATTCCTTTGCCCATCACTGGCCAAGTAATATGAAAAAATTAGGATGGCTTGAGAAAGCTTTGACACAACCAAGAAATATTAGAATTTTTAAAGTTCACAGCTGCCCATTTGGATTTAGCAGCAATGACTGCAGGCTGCTGACTTTTTTTTTCTCTTTTATTAGTGTTAATACTAAGGGCTACATTCAGGGACCCTATCCAATTTATTAAAAACATCTTGAGTAGTTGAGCCTCCTTTGTGTTCGATCACTTATTGTGATCTACTCTTCCCTTCAGTAACTATTTTTTTCTTCCCCGGACTAAAATACACATAGCCTTTATGCTATAGAGTATTATAGTTATTACAGTACTATAAGGGGCATTATATAGTATAGAGTTCATACTCTGTACTCTTCTACAGCAAAACCAGGATATTTTCAGCTACCCTGTGCCATGAGAATCTAGCCAGCAAACTCTCTGTTCTCCTCCAAGGCAAACCTGTTTGCCTTGATTGGACAAAGCTAAGTTTATGGGCATCATGGATGGACACACCAATTTTCATTTTATTTAAGCACTCTGGCATCAAAATTGTTTAGCACTTATCTTCCATTTGCAATGAGAAACCAATTTACCCACCATCCTATTTATGATTAGGCATTGTTTTAACCTGTGATTGGTGGGGCACACCTATACTTATGTGCACTAATGTTTACCTTATGAAGGAGGCTGGATACTAAGAGATTGTTTTTGCCATTTGTTTTTTTAAGCGTCTGCATTTTTTAGCCTCCATTTGAACTGCAAATGATTTGTTTCTCTATTACAACATAGGTGTACATGCATTACATACAATACATGCCATACATTCATGCTGATGGAAATGTAGTTGCTCCAAGGCAGAGGGGATTGCTATCAGTGCTGGTAGTCAAGAGGCTGTAAAGGGGACCACTAGTTAATGCAGAGTCTAGTGCAAAGCAATCGAAATCCATGGGCATCCAGCATGGAAATTCCTCTTCCAGCAAGATGACAAATTGGCCAACATGTCATGATAATGAAACTATGACTAGACATAACTAACACCTTCATTTATAGTCATGGGACTCAAAAAATACAATAATTCATCCAGGGGAATGATATTTCTATCATTTAATAGTCACTGTATTCAATTGTATTTTACTGCACATGTATTGAGGAAAGGTGTGTATTCTTCAAACAACTATGATATGGGAATACAATATCACAAACATCTATGATGTAAATACTCAATTTTAAATACAAGATATTGAGCTGATGCATTTATACATGTAGCAAAGTGTATAGTTATCAGAACCCACAATACATATTAAATGCCATTCTGCAGACTGCAGGAATAATCTGCTGGATGGCTATACTTGTCCAAATAAAGTGGTTTGGTTTCCAGCAGATAAGCCTAGACTCACTTAGAATATTTATTATGCTTCTGAGCTCACTATTCACTGAGCTCTATTCTATCCAAAAACTATAATATTAAATCTGCAGATCAGCCAATAATTTTGGTGAGTTCAGTAGCTCAAAGTAAACAGCTACACACAGTGGCAATAAGTAGACATGTACTGTACAAATCTTAGATTAGGCGGCTAGGCACATGTTAACCTTAGCTCTTACTGGTTATTAAGTGCTGGTATAGAATTTAGGTGTTAAAGAGGTATTAGACCCAAAACCAAAAATGTAATGTATTGCAGCTTACCAATCATTAGTTGTAGTGGCTGCATTTGTTTTCTTTTTTTAGGCCTTTTGCTCTTTGTTTTCACCTGGTGAACTGACCAGTAACGCACCTCCTGCAGTACAGCTCATGCACACAGAGCATAAAAGTTGCCCCTTTATAGGCGTTGATCTTTTTTTTTTCAGCCTTTAAAAGCACCTCTATGAAAGCCTTTGTGTTCCTGCGCACTTAGGCATTTACAGAAGTATTAGAAGAGGAGCATTTACGGGCTGAAAAAACCCCACCAAAGGAATGTTCAGAAGATGAGGTGAAGAGCAGGATAAAAAAAAGGAGAACACACCTAAATGGCATCTAAATGCACATAAATGTTAGATGCATCTAGTGTGTGAGCATAAATGTATTCCAATGGCTGAAATAATATTCTGGCCAACAGAATGCATTAACGCTTGAATGCTAGAACATGTGTGCAATATGTAGTTTGTTAAACAGAATTTTCCTGTCAAGAGTTCTGGCATTCAGAGGGGCTTAAACAGATGCCCCATGTGCTTAAGACCTTAGAGTGCCTACACTCTGGATGAAGGAGCAACAGAGACACCTTTGGACAGCAGCATTGTCAGTCTGGGCGGAGAGTAATGCTATATGCACTAGTAGATTTAGATACACTAAAAAATTGAAGCCAAGCTCCAGCTAACACATTATAAGCAGTTACAGCAATAGTTTTTTCCTCTTGTATTAAAGGTTTTAAATAAATGAAAAAAGCTAGCATTATAACCACCCCTGTCAGTGTTAGGTGGTGTATATTTACCCTGTAACTGCTACAATTGTGGGACAGCTTGTTCTGTTGAAAAAAACAACAAACTTTCTGGCAGGATCACTTGGTGAAAATAAAATTAAGAAAGCCTTAAAAAGAAAACAAATGTACTCATCATGTCTAGGAATTGGTAACCTGCAATGAAATAAATGCTTGCTTTTGGATCTAATACGGCTTTATTGCTAAATGAAGATGTATATTAATATTACTTTCCTGCGTTCCCAAAATCTCACTTCTTTACCCCTCTGCTCCACCCCAAAACTTGTACATCTCACCCTCACTGCTACCATCTCCCTACTACTGCTCTCATCCCCTCCTGCTGATACTTCACTCTCCTGCTGACCAAAACACCAGGACTGGAAGGCATGTGCACTCATGTACATCCCGCTCCCATGTTACTTTCCTCACCCTTCTTCTTCTCCTAACCTCTGGGGATATCTCCCCAAACCCTGGTCCTCCACTATTTCACCCCCACACCAGGCATCCTCTTTCTTCCGGGAATAGCCGCAATCCCCTCAATTTAACATCAGTACCTGTGCTCCCAAAACCACCCTCCCTTTTTCATGTGCGCTCTGGAATGCCGGTCTGTCTGTAATAAGCTCACCTCTGTCCATGACCTTTTTGTCTCTCGCACCCTTAACCTACTAGCAATTACAGAAACCTGGCTCTAAGCAGCAGATCTGATTCTCCCACAGCACTTTCCTATGGAGGCCTCGTCTGGACCCACTCACCCAGACCCAGTGGTTGGAAAGGTGGTGGAGTTGGTTTGCTTGTATCCCCACTGAGCACCTTTCAAGTCCTCCCTAACCCTCCCTCTCTATCCTTCTCTTTTTTTGAGACTCACTGCATCTTTTTTTGAGACTCCCATTTCTCTGAGGCTTGCAGTGATCTATCGGCCTCCTGGATCGGTGTCCCGCTTTCCTGATGATTTCTCCACCTGGCTACCCTACTTTCTTTCCTCTGAACTACCCACTATCATTCTCGGAGATTTTAACATCCCTATTAATGTCAACAACCCGGCTACATCACAACTCTTCAACTTTAACCTCATCTTTTGCATTAGCCCAATGTATACAGTCCTCCACTCACTCTGATGGGAATACATTAGACCTTGTTTTCTCTGATCTTTGCACCCCCTTTCCTCTCTCTGATCACAATCTCATCACCTTCACAGTGT